TTCGTTGTGATAATACTAGCGCCATAAGCTTGACGAAGAACCCCGTTCTTCACTCAAGGACGAAACACATTGACATTAGGCATCATTTCATTAGAGATCATGTTCTCAAAGGTGATGTCGAAATTGAGTTTGTTGAAACACACAACCAATTAGCCGACATTTTCACAAAACCTTTAGAGAAAGAGTCGTTCTTCCGCATTCGAAGTGAACTCGGAATCCTTGACTCCACGATGATTTAAGTTGTGCATCTAAATTTATTAAACATTTACTAACTTGAGCGTCGGAGAACTTTTTTTCTTTTTTGCAGGTACCCTGTTCATGAAATCAGGGGGAACCATGCAAACAGCGCTGTCCAGGAGACACAACAGCGCTGTTGAGAGAAACACTGTCAACCAGAAAGTTTTCCAATAGCGCTGTACAACAAACCAACAGCGCTGTCCCAGGGAGTTCCCTTTCCTTACTCTTTCCAGAAACTTTCTCTACAGCGCTGTCCCTATTTTCAACATCGCTGTCTTCCAAAACACCTCCTTTTTATAATGAAACCAGAAACTTTTTCAACAGCGATGCCCTTTGAGCAACAGCGCTATCCGTTTTTTTTACAAATTTTTTCTCTATCGTAAAACAGCGATGTAGGGCAAACCCAACAGCGCTGTTCAAATGGGTTCAAACCCTTACACAATTCCAGAAACTTTTGGAACATTGCTGTAGGATACTCAACATCGCTGTCCTTTTGACTCCTGTTTTTTTTAAAACTTGACGCAGAACAGCGCTGTACTAGGCACAACAGTGCTGTTCCAACAGCGATGTCGCCTATGGAACATCGCTGTTCTGGTCAAGATTTTCAGAAAAAAATATCCGTTGGACCTTCATTTATTGCTCCAACAGTCATAGTTTTTGAAATTTTGGACGTTGGAGGCCTCCTTTTCTATAAATTGGAGCCTCCACTCCTCATTTTTACACACACAAACACAAATTCTCTCCATACTTCTTGCATATCTCACTCCACTTACAATTTTGTTTCCTTCTTCATCATGGGCAAGGACAAGAGCAGGGCCGCCACCTCCGGGAAATCAAAGTCCAAATCCCGGGCTCCTACGTCATCCTCCGAGGAGCGCCTCTACTATGGCGACGGGTCATACCTTTGGTTTGATTCCGAGGTGGAGCGCACCCGTTTCCTCACCTTCTTCTCTAAACGGGTTGTGGCTCCCCCACGCATCATCCTGGAGCGTTACTCGGAGTTGCAGGGCTACGACGACCTCGACGCGCAGCTTCATCAAGCCAGCCTTTGGCCGTTCGTCTCCCGGGCTCGCGAGGAGATCAACCCGGCGCTGATCCGGGCCTTCTACTCCAACCTCCGGCGTGAGGACGACGTGCTCTACTCGCTCGTCAAGAGCACGCCGATCGAGCTCACAGTGGAGCAGCTTGGGCGCATCGCCGGCCTCCCCTTCCAAGGCGACGATGTGTCTCACTATGGTGGAGAGGATTGGGTGCTCAACAACGAGGGCCTTATCCTCAACGAGCTTGGCATCACCGAGCTCAAACGCCATGCCTCGGGCCGCCCAACCATCAACTCCGCCAACCCCGAAGGCCGCCTCGTCCTCTACATTGTCTCCCGGATCATCAAACCCCGGAAGCACGGCCACACCATCATGCACGGCGAAGACCTCAAGCTTATCCATGCGATCATGCATTTGGCCCCAATCAATTGGGCAAAGTTTGTCTTGATCAACATGACGATTTCCGCGTCCACCGAGCACGACCACCTCCTCCCGTACCCGTTTTTGGTGATGGACATCCTTGAACGGTTCAAGGTAACAACCACCGTTGGCCCGCTCACGAAGGCCACGAAGATTTGGACAATCAGCAACCAAACCTTCATCAAGCGGTCGGACAACGCCGCGGCTGCCACTGCCGAGCCACGCCGCACTGCCTCTGCCGCTGGCCCAGCCGAACCCCAGGCCCGGGCCAACCTCGCCTCCATCGCCGACTCCCTCAACCGGCTCCACCTCAAGGTTGACGGGATGGGGAGCTATCTTGACCGGCTCGACGTGGCTGTTCAACGCCAAGGATACGCGATGAACTCATACTTCCAAGGCATCAACTACGTCCCCCCACCGTACCACGGCACGTTCCTTGGGCAAGTGTACGGTG